CAAATTCATTTACCCTGATGACCGAGGAATTAAAAACCTAGTTAGTGCGATATTCTCATGAAAGCTGTTTCCTCATAACTTCATAGAATTACTGTCCTTATCATATGTTAGTTTCCTCCTCTTCCACCTCCTCTATCACTCCTATACCTTTCATGATATTACATTTTCTCTCCTCACTTTCTCTCTCTCTCCCTTTCACTCATCCTTTTAGCAAATTAATTACATGTCCTTTTAATACATGGCGGGTAGGAGGCTGTACTGACGTTTCCTACTCTTACCCGCATGCATAGTCCTGTCTGTGTTTACAGCTAAGGGATGAAACACAGAGACTGCAATGAAAAATATCACCCCACTACATCTAAAAGATAAAGGCAATCTGTACCATAAAATATCACCTTACTCATGACGCCTGTGTACAATCCTGTTGGTCTATTATTTTTTCTACAATAAAACAACTCCTATCAGTGCTACTTATTTTATTCTACAGAAAAACCCCCTCCCCTCTCCTTCCTCCTCCCCCCTCTCCTCCACTACCACCAGTGGATCCGCCAATGAAAGTACGATGGTTCAAAGAATTGTACGATGGTTCAAAGAATTGGCAAATGAGGGAGACGAAAAAGGGTGGAATGGAGATCGAATGGGTTCTCGAGGGCTGGAAAACTACTTCTTTGCGATGATGGAAAAAATTAAAAAATCTTAAATGAAGCCTCGGCGCATCCATGACTTAAGCAAAACAAGGTACCACGGGCAATCGGTCGCGTCGTGATCAGCAGGAAGGAACAACGAACACGGAGCAACAATGTCTCGCACTTGTCACGTATTGGCAGACTTCAACTGGCACCGGGTTGCCTGGGCTGAGCCCAAGAAGCTGGCAGCGCCCACTGCTGCAACTTTGTAGCGCCAGGAGTCCCACCAAAAATGTTTATGTGACCGTCGTCCATCGCAGAACTTGTCTGCGCAACCAAACATTGTTGTCCATTTTTCAACAGAAATAATCAACAACGCGCACCAGACTAGCCGGTGCGATCATGCGTTTTGTGCAGTTCAGCCCATCGAACGATT